CATTTAAAATTTTTTTGAATCAAGGTCATTCTTTGAGTATCTATATAAATTTAGTTGTAAATTTTATAACAAATAGTTACTAATTGATTATATATATATATATATATAGTTGAGGGATTTAATTTGAACTTGAAAACAATCTACTTATTATTAATAAATTTTGAATTATTCGAGTTATATTTCATAATTCGACTCAAATTTAAATTTTTTCAGTTGAGTCGAATTTATAAAATTACGAGTTAAATCAATTCTAGTCGAATCGAAAATTTATTTTTCAAGTGAATTGAGTTTTATTCACCCCTAACGACTTCAAGTCTGTCAGTGAATTTATGAGATAATTAATATCAAAGTTTAGGTATTTTTGTAAATACAGATTTTCGGATTCGAATAATAGAATATAAATAAAAAAACTTTAATCGATAAATGTTTGATCAATTGAACTAAATCCTGTGCTCGGTTTCAACTTGGTCACCAATAATTGCTATAATGTTTTATGGTGATTTGAAAACAGAAAGCACTTTAATCATCAGATAACTATTGCAGTCTCCTTCCAAATAAGAACATCTATCCAACAAGGTTTGGTTTCATTCCTTTTTGCTTAAATCCAAAATCAGGATAACCAGACCCGAAGTTGAGTTATCCGAGTTGTTTTTCGTGTTCATCTTAGTTGTTAGAAGGGATTTAATTACGGTTGCAATTACATTTAAAGTTGTTTTTATCGTGATTGTGGTAATAGCATGTGCAATTGTAACAATAACGGTGTTTTACGATCATTGTGGATATCACGATTGTGCAATAACAGTTTTAGAACGACATCTTTACCGCTATTCCGATAACCTATTTAAATCCCTGGTTGTTAGTAAGAAAGAGACAAATAAATATGGTGAAGCAAGTGCAACAACACTGCAGATTTCCCATTAGAAACGCTTAGGAAAGCAAGCTGTACATTATTGTGATAACTAGTCATGTCTCAAATGCCCGCTTTGTTCTCCGGTCAAAAAGTTAGCTTTACTAGTTGAAGCTCCCAATCCTCGGAAGACCAACGCTTACGGTATGTACATGCTCCGGCGCAACCATCCCGAGTACTAATATATTTCTCTAGGAAGTGGAAGCCTCACCGAGCAGTTGTGTAACTTAAGGTAGCTTACATTGTGCTTCAACGAGGAGACAACTCGTTACCATCCTCTTTTTTAACTTTTTTTTTTTTTTTCATTTTTTATAGGACTGAGAAGGGTTTATGATGACATCAAGAAAGATGGACAAGCCTCTGCAGATTTGAATCAGGGTGAAGCCCACTCGAAGTAGTGGCAGTGGACACCTCGAGTGACAGTCCAGTTCCCGCAGCCGAAGAACACGTTCCCTTGCTTCAGTCCAGGTTTCCAAATTATTCCTTTGCTACTCTTCACCCACAGAAACAGTAGGGGTGGTAATGGAATAGGGCATTTGCTGATCCTTGGGCGTATGTTGTTGATTGGAGAGAAGGCCATGTTCATGGGGATCAAGTTCCATCTCAATGAACAATCACTAGCCTGCCACATCAACGAATTTGTGATAGAATCTAAAACTCTTGTGCATCAAAAGAGCAAGTAAGCGAGCTGTATTCTTGGCATCATCACAATGGGCACGACCCTGCCAGGCCAGGCCAGCCATCTCAACTGCCTTTTCAGATTACACCTAAAATCACCGAAAACCTCACAGAAAGGAACTTTTAAGTTGATCCACCTGCCAAAAGGCTAATATGAATGAAAAATAATATTAATAGTACAAATGTCTATATAACAAAAGTATCAACGGTATTATTTGATCTCTAAAAGAAAAAAACAGGGCCAAAAAGCATGTATCAAAATTATTTACCGGTTGAAGTAGGGCTTCCGGATCTTCTTGAATTGGCACTCGGATTCCATCATTACCCGACAATCCCAATTCGACCACGTCACCACAGCAAAGTTGCTGTTTTTTATGCCCCTCTTCTCTAGCCATTTATCGTGCCTAAGGAGCCTCACTCAGAGTAACACCTCTATCTACCTAGATACAACAACAACTAACCTATCAATTCGACTTACTCCTTTAGTCGTTGAAATCCTAACCTCATCTGACGGTGGATTAGGCTCTAGTTATCAAGCTAAAACCCATTACTTACGTCGATATTCCTTTAGTTTCTCTCGAACACTAAGATCATTAACCTAGTTTTCTCTCGAACACTAAGTAGTATACTTAAGAAAATGCTAATCTCATAACTCCTACAATCTTAAGTAATTAAAAACAATAAGCAAAACAAGTAATAAATATAGAAATTCAACCATCCATTAAAGAAAAATACTTAATCATCCATAATAAACTCCACCAAATAAAGTTAGTTTATGGTGGGGTTCGAGTAATCCATGAGAATCATCCGTTCTTTACAACACATAAAATATGAATAAAAAAAGCATAAGGATGGAGGAAAAACTGTCAAAGCACGCTGCCGGAGCTCCCTTGGACACACGAACCACCTTAGTAGCTTTAGCTCCTCTCGGATGCCTAGTCATCACTCCCGAACCACCTTAGTAGCTTTAGCTCCTCTCGGATGCCTAGCTCATCACTCCCAAGCTTGAAAATGGAAGAACACCACGAAAGGGATGAGAAAAAGAAAGAAAGTTGGAAGCTTTGTTGTTGCCTCCCTTATCTTGTTCAGCTCACTTTTTTCCCAAGAAGATCATCCCCTTTTTTGTGGTGTCTTAATCTATTTATACTAAGGGAATATACCTAGGGTTTTGTGTCAAAAAGATAATGGTGCCCTAAGGTACATCCCTTACACGTGAAAAGGGAGTACAAAGGTGGTAGTGCCCCCTCTTAGGTGGCATGTAGCTGGAATCACGTGGCGGTTGGACAACTACCTATTTTATAAAAATATCTTCAGCTCTTTTTTGTCTTTTTCTGTACCCATAAATGCTATCCTGCTGCCGCAACATTTTTATTCTGTTTCATCATCTCAGTTTGCCACGAACAATTCTCCTCGCACACTCTTTTGCTTTATGACATGTACATCATCAACCAGACATAACCTTTCCCGTAAAGCATCACCAATATGTCACGACAAATTAAATCCATCACATGCAACTACATGATCCTAAATGCATCTATATTTTCCTAAATGTATCTTAAGATAATCAATAACTTAATTAAAAAGGCCCTAAATATAAACTTTTTACGAAGTTATCACACCCTCAAACTTAATCTATTGTTTGTCCTCAAGCAATGAATAATGTTTAGCAAAATAAAGATGTCATGACAAAACCTTAAGTCAAGATAGTGATGTAGGAAAATTTTTCAGCCCTTAGAAAAATTGGGCTTCAACAGATTAGACCAATTGAGAAGTCAAGTACTACTCCTTAGGGCAAGATCCCTTGCTTATGTGTGTGATTGTATCCAGTTTATGCTTAACAAAGTTAGAAAGTTTCTATTCAAGTACTCTTATTTTGACATGGCATTTTCCTTTGACCCTAAGCATAACTTTCACTCCTATTTCCTTTCAACTCTTGTTTTTTAAGAGGGGAGTCAGCCCATCACACATACTTTCCTAGACTTGAAAATGAAGTAGAGCAAACACCCCATTCGCTAGCCTATTGAGTAGAGTCATCACGTGACTACTTTCATTCACTCGTATGTCATGGTTGTCATTTATTCAAAGAAAGTATTCAGGCAATGCCATAGAAAATAAAGAGTGTCTCTCTATAGTTATGCCGAAGCATTTATTCACAACTTAACACAGCTCAAAATTTAAGGGAGTCAAATTTCAGCCTTTAAGCTCATTGTCAAAATTCTATGCTATAACATGTGCAAGAGTTCTTTTATAAAAAATGTCTAAGTCCCTTAAGCATAGAAATCATATTATCGTGTGTTACGAATCACAAAGAATCGAGTCATAGAGTTGGTTCTATCATTCACAATAGTCATATACATTCAACTCTAGCCATAGGAATATCATCATCGGACATCATCAATTTGATACCATGGCAAATTAGTTCTGCTAACCCTATGAATGCAAAGCAAATGTCCTAATAAGGACATCACCTTCCCTAAACTTGAAGGAAACATTGTCTTCAATGCAAAAAATAAAAACTAAGTAAAATTCTAGACTAAAGGCTATATGTAATATAATGTAATGCAAGGTAGCTTGACTTGTCTTCGAGGACGATTGTGTTGAGTTTTTATTAAACGATTCCTTAATTTCAAAGCTTAAATGGTTATTTTCTTGGTTTGTTACAAAATGAAGAATTGAAGAAGAAAGCAAATTTTATGGGTTTTGACCGATTATTTTTTACTATTAGACAGTCGAATCACCTGACTAGACATTTCACATTTCATTCTTTTAGTAACGTTATTAAACGTTAAGTGGTTATTTTGTTATAAATCAATAATATTAATAATAAATTTGTAACTTTTAAAAATTTAATAGAGAGAATAAAAATTTAGTTAAATTTTAACGATGATCGATAAATTTACCCATATAAAATCAATGTCTAAGATACTAAACGCGGTAACGAAGGAATTAAATAACGATTTGTTATTAAAGTATTGGTAGTATATAACGATAATAATATTGTTTGAAACTATTTTGTATGATTACAAAATCTGATAATATTTATTATATATCTATAATTATAATACAAATAAAAATATATAATTGTAGCTATATTTAGATCTCTAGCATGGATAACAATCTTTGCTCAAGTGTTGTGTAAGAAACCAGCTTTGGATTGTGAAGTTGTAATTTAAATGCGAAATTGATGCCATGGTTAACGATGATTTTTATGTGGCGTTTGATTCACAGGAATCCCTTGAAATTAAGAGAATTAAAATTTAATTTCATCACTTTCTTATATTTGGTTTAAATTTTTAAAAGAAATTAAAATCCTAAATGACTTCAACTTTTCATGAAAAATAAATTACATCCATAATCTGAGAGAATTAAAATTCTTTTAAGGAGAGAATGTGAAATTTAACCGTACAATATTTTCGGTTCCTTTTAAACCTAATCTATCCTTCCATCATCTGTCTTCATCGTCCCATCGCTCTCTCGTCTTCCAACCGTGACCACCAGCCATCGTAGCCACCAACCGTGACAACCATCCATCTACTCTCCTACCCGGCCTCTAGATCCTGTCTCCTACCATCGATCTCCACTGACCTTCAAGCAGCAATCGGATTTCGACCTCCACTTCTGCAGGTATGAATCTGACTCGACAGTCTCGATTTCATCTACTTTAAACTCAGTTTTCACGCTTTATCTAATTTTTTGGGTATTTATGTGTGGTTTATGAACTTCGTGGCTGATGACAGCTCTTTTGAATTCAACTTTGTTGTGATTCGAGTTTTGATTTGGAAAATTTAGGGTTTAAATTTTGTTCAATTTTTTAGTGAAGTCTACTTTGGGTGTACTCTATATTTGATTCAAGGTTTTCTGTGTTGATTTTAAAGGTTGTTGTATAAAGTTGGTTTGAATGCCACCAGATATGGATTAGTTGCAGGTAAAATAGATACGGTTTCATAAATTTTCGGTTTTAATTTTTGTCCCAATGAGGTAATAATAAGTGGATTCTCTAGTTCTTTGGTTTTAGCCTGTCATATAAAACACATTGGTCGAATTATGGTCAAAAACACAGTTTGCTGCAATGAACCAATTTAACAGTGTACTTAGGCCGTATTTATGCTTTGAGTTTCATGATTCTTTTGGGCTTGTATCTTCATTTTTTAGATTCATGAATATGATTGATGTCATCATATCATTTCCTGTTGTGTTGTTTTAGATTCATGAATATGGTTGGTGTCATCATATCATATCCCGCTGTGCTGTTTTAGATTCATGAATATGATTGGTGTCGTTTAAATAGTAAAGGCAAAAGTGTTGTTTTAATATATATAATGTGATTATATGTTGTCCTCTTAGGAGTCATAATAGAGGGAGTTATTTGTTTTAACAAATATAATGAATATGATTGGTGTCGTTCTAATTATCTTGAATATGATATGAATTTGTATGAACAGGAAAAATGTACCGACTTAGTTTAACAACACGCAATCGTAGACAACGACAAACGTCATTGATCTTGACATGGTGGAACCTGGTTTTGCATATTGTTGTAGTCCTCTTGTTAATGATGTTTAAAGAACATAGAGATAGACCACGTCTTAAACATTTTTCTTCAAATGTAGATTGATACCCAAAACTACATAGGTACGTTTATGAGAGTGACACCATGTTTATATCACAAATTAGGATGCCTCGAAGGTGTTTTACGAAGTTGTGTCATATGCTTGAAATATTTGGAGGCCTAAAACCAAGTAGGAATATGAATATTGATGAACAAGTTGCCATTTTTCTCTATATTCTTGCTCATTGCTCACAATGTTAAGAATCGCGCCATCATATATCGCTTTCGTCGTCAGGGAGAAACCATTAGTAGGCATTTTGCTCGAGTTTGTAATGCAGTCATACGCTTGTATACTCGTTTGCTTAAGAAACCGAACCCGTGCCTGATAATTTTACAGATCAAAGATGGAAATGGTTTAAGAATTGTTTAGGAGCTTTAGATGGAACATATATAAAATGTCTAGTTCCAGTTGAAGAAAAGCCTAGATATAGAACAAGAAAGAATGATATTTCAACAAACGTTCTAGGGGTTTGTTCCCAAGATATGCAATTTATATACGTGTTAACGGGATGGGAGGGGTCAGCGGCGGATGGTAGAGTTCTTCGGGATGCTCTTCTTAGACCTCATTGATTGAAAGTTCCAAGACCGGGTATGTAAATATACGTATTAACTACAATTTAATAAGCACGAATGGTTATTAACTATGTCTATAAATCTTATATATAGGTTATTATTTAGTTGATGTCGGATACACAAATGGAGAGGGCTTTTAGCCCTTATAGAGGTCAAAGGTATCACTTAAATGAATGGCGTGATGGACACCAACCGACTACAGCAAAGGAATTCTTCAACATGAAACATTCTTCGGCAAGAAATGTTATCGAACGATGTTTTAGCCTTTTGAAGGGAAGATGGGGAATATTGAAGGACAATTCGTATTATCCGATCGAAACAAAAAATAAGATAATAATGGCATGTTGTCACCTTCATAATTTCATAAGACAAGAAATGGAAGTAGATCCATTCGACGTCGAATACGAGGGAACCAGAGATCTTGGACATGAAGATGTGGATAATATTAGTTCTATCGGGACTTCGAACGAATGGACCACGTTTAGAGATAATTTAACCGAATCTATGTTTGCATCTAGGGGAGCAACTAATTAAATAAAAATGTGTTGTATTGTTTATCTATATGTAATGTATAAATAATAAGATTGTTGGACAAATAATTTGTTGTATTGCTTATCTATATGCAATGTATTAAATTGTTGGATTATTTATGGTATTATTTGTTGGGTTATTGAAATATTAATTTGTTGTAATCGTGTTTATCGTTATGTTTATAGGTATGGCAAGTCAGAATCGAAATTATAGGCCATGGACAAGTAATGAAGAAGCAAAACTAGTTGAGGCCTTGGTGAATTTGACAAATGCGGGAGGATTTAAAGCCGATAATGGGTTCAAATCGGGTTATTTAAAACATCTAGAGCAAACCTTGAAAATCAGTTCCAAATTCTGGTCTTTTAGGAAATCCACATATTGCGTCGAAGATAAAAACCATTAAAAGAGATTGACAATGTGTGTATGACATGGTAAACGGTTCAAACATGAGCGGGTTTGGCTATGACCCCGAAAAATAGTGTTACTGCGAAGGAACCGGTTTGGGAGGCGTACCTCCAGGTACATATTATAATATTTATATAGTTTCTAAAGAATCGACTACATGATTGTAACAATCCGGAAAATTTAAAAAAAAAATTAATTAAGTAATTTGACGAAATTTGAGGATTAATTCGAAAGTTTTCAAAACTTGTGATCATTTTAAAAGTTGAAGAAAATTCAGGGACCAAGTTCTAAATTCCTCTAAGGAGTGTCGGCAGGATTGATGATATAAGCGTGTTTTTTGATTATACAAATGCTAAAATCTTTAAACTTTCTTCCTCTCACACCTCCATTTTCAAGTCTGATTTCGACGTCGGTTGACTTTCAATCGTAAAATTAAAACCATCGTCATGTTCATCTTTGAACTGGGAACAAAACCCAGTAAACCAATTATAGCGAAGCGATTCCAAACGATGTAAATTTTGAGTCAAAGTCTCAACGTTTTTTTTAGCACCACCGTCGGAAAAATCTTAAATTCATCTCCGATCGTTGATCGGTTTTCGACACCTCTCGCATCATCGTGTTCCTTGTGTTGTTCCGAGTTCGACGCTGTTCTTTTTGTCTCCGTAGGCGGCGGCGCGTGAGGGAGGTGAAGCAGTCAAAGTTTCGATCGAGTTGAAATCGAGCTCTCTATCATTCAAAAATTTGAATCGAGGTTGGTAAGTGACTCAAAATCGCTTAAAATAATTTTTAGAAATTTTTACAGGAATTTTTGAAGACCGGAGGAGGTCTCACGCGCCCCCACGTGGCGTCCCTGCGCGTGGGGAAGATTCGAACTCGGGGTGTTATATGTTGACCGGCTTGACTGGTGGTTTGACCAGTCTGACCTGACCCGTTGACCGACCCGACCATGTGATATTTTAGTAAATATTTTGAAAAAGGTGATATTTTAAGAATTAGTTTTAAAACGATGATATTTTGGTAATTATTTTTAAAACGGTGATATTTTGGTAATTATTTTTAAAATATTGATATTTCGGTAATTTTTTTAAACAGTGATATTTTGGTAATTATTTTTAAAACGGTGATATTTTGGTAATTATTTAAAAAAAAGTGATATTTTTGTAATTTTCGAATGTGGACTATTGAACTCCTTTGACCATAACTTTGACCGGCTTTAAACGGCCATTAAACAACCTTTGATTTTGTTCGAGTATACATATTCTAATATTTTCGACGTACCGAATCCGTTTTCGAAGTCCGTTTTGCCAAATTCGAACCCGAATGCCTCTAAATCATCAGTCAAACCCGTTGACTTTGATTTTGATCAAGAATTTGAATTTTCGAAAAGTCATACTTTATGTTTTTCGACGTCCTGATTCCGATTCCGCAATCTGTTTGGTCAAATTCAGACTTGAAAGCCTCCAAATTGATTGTCAAACCCGAAAAATACTTATGTACTTGAGAGTTTTAACTTTGAATGACTAAGTAAGACTTGAGACTGATAAATTATTAATGTTTGAAGGTACAAGAGAGTCTCTTAACCATTCGACAGCTCGATCCAACTCCTCTAGATCAGTTAAACCACGTGTGCCAGTATTCACCCGTAAGACCCGTAAATTTTATGGTTTTAGAAATTAATTATATTACCCATTAGTAATATAGTTATTATGAATTAGGTTCGAAAACTATAGCAGAGCGTGGTGAGACCAGCAATCAGTCGATCTACTATTTGAACCTATTATTGAGGTGTGTTCCCTATTTATTACTGAACTATTTTATTTGTTTTAATATGTGGTACACTAAATTCTATGGTTATTGTTTTATTGATGCACCGATTTAATGTGATGGTTTATAAATTATGACTGCTATCTGATTTTTGTTTTGAAATGGTATATGATTACCATGTTTACGGATTTATGGAATTTACGTCACGGTGCAATTGAATTTTTGGAATACGAATTTATAAAGTACAACTCTGATTAAGCTGAAATTTTACGGACCTAATGTAACTCTTAGGTAGGCTCTGCGGCCCTGAGATCATTCTCCAGTAGGCCCTGCGGCCCTAAGATGTATTCTTAGGTAGGCCTTACGGCCCCGAAATCTATCTTGGGTAGGCTCTTAGGCCCTAAGATGTTCCCTTTAGGTAACTCTTTTATGGGATTTACTGGACTATGATTTGTTTAGTGTACCTATCATAATTTTATAGTAATGTTGGGACACACTGAGCCTAACTCAATTTTCGAAAATGTTTTCCCCTTTCAGATATTGTTGGTTAGATACACCTGATCGAGCACTTGGAGGATCAACATATCTCTTGAAGTATATCTTATTGTAATGTTTTATCTTTCAAGTTAACTCTATTTTGGTAACATGAGCCTTATTTTAAATGTATTGTATTTTATAATGATTACTCTTTTGCTATTTATATTGGTTTATCGTAGTTTGGATTTTTTATGATATGTTTAAATTAACTTGTTATTTTTCTCATAATTATGAGTTGGTTTTTTTATATAGTATAATTTATTATAATTTCATAAATGTCATTTATAAATATGATTTTACATTGATTGAATAACGATTTCGGAAAAATATCTTTAAGAATCATGAATATGATCCACTAGACTTAGTCGAAACGCATAGGACGGGTCTAGAGGGTTACATTTAATTGGTATCAGAGCTTTTGGTTTTGTAACCTTAGACTGTGTATGAGTCCAAATTGAAAATACGGGTTTGAAATATTTTACAAAATAAGTTACTAAGGCCATGTCTCAAAGTTTTTACGGTTTTAACTGTGTTCGAGACTCCAAGTGCTTATCTAACCCTAAGTTTTATATTATGTAGTAAACTCGAGATCCACCAAAATGAGTGCTAGGCGTGGACGTCGAACTAGTCGTGGATGAGGTCGAGTGGCTAGATTTGCAGACCAAATCGATGAGATTCGAGTAGATCCCCCACATTCGACAGGTGATCCTGCTCCTGCGACCCCAACAAATTTACCTTCTGTCGTTAGTATTGGCATGACTACACCGATCAGGGGAGCAACCGATAGTGAGCCAGATTCTACCAGAGTTGCATTTGATGAGAATTTTGGTAGACAGTTTCTACAGTTGATTCAAGGAGCGGTTAGAGCGGTTGGTGTTGGATCCGAGGTGTATATTTCTCAGACTCTGATTGCCAATGGAGTCAGAACTTTTAGAGGACAGCTTGGTGGAGTTTCTACTGAAGCAGGAGATTGGCTCCAGGATACTGAGAGACGTATGGATCAGTTGGGTTTGGTCCCAACTAAGAGATATTTGGGGGCAGTAGCGATGTTAGATGGCAATGCCCACACCTGGTGGGAGTCAGTGACCAGTAGTGTTCCTACCGATCGTTTGACATGGGATTTCTTTAAGGAGCACTTTCGGAGCCGATTCCTGGGTGAGCGTTACTTAGTCCAGAGACGACAGCAGTTTCAAGACTTGGTTTAGGGTGATATGTCTGTTTCAGAGTATGAGATAGAGTTCTTGAAATTGTTAAAGTATGGAATCAGTCTGGTGCCTACCGAGAGAGATCGATGCCGTAAATTTTTCCTCGGACTCAGATACGAGCTACGTAGATAGGTTGTTGCCCTCCAAGATGAGATTTTTGATGTGCTGGTGAGCAGAGCCAAGGATGCTAAGGAGATGGAGGCTTTAGCTTCTGGAAGAGAGTGTGTTGATCAGGAGCGATCTAGGAAATCTTTTGGCCCTACTGAATCATCCGCACAGTCCGGTAAGAGAACTCGTACTTCAGCCCCTCAGAGAAGCAATACACGCTTCAGGCCTGCAGCATCTTCACCTTCAGCTGTTAGTAGAGGTGGTTCTTCGGTTCTGTTTCAAGTGCCTTATTGTGATTTTTGTGGTAAATGGCACACGGGAGAGTGTTATAGGAAGATCGAATCATGTTTTCATTGTGGATCTAGTGGTCATTTTCGGAGGGATTGTCCTCAGCTAGCTTCGTCTGAGCGGACTGCTACTCAGACTCCTGTGCGTTCTCAGACTACTGTACAGACTCTAATTAGAGATTGTAGCCAAGGAAAGGCTCGTGGATTAGCATCCAGGACAGACAGTAGAGCCTGACCTCAGCAGAATAGAGGGCTAACAGTTTCTAAGGCTAGACAGCCAGCTTTGGTTTACGCCACTAGACATCGGGATGACAGAGATGAGCATGAGGTTATTGCATGTACATTTACTATTTATTATATTTCATACTTTGCATTACTAGACAATGGCTCCACTCACTCCTATGTATTGAGCTCGGTATCTCGAAACCTTCATATTCCGATCGAGAATACTGATAATACTGTTACGGTTACGAGTCCAGTAGGACAGACAATATTAGTGAATAAAGTATTCTGGCGTTGTCCTCTGGAGGTTCAGGGAGAAATTTTTCTCGCTGATCTTATGGAGCTTCCTTTAGAGGAGTTTGATCTAATTCTTGGGATGGTTTGGTTGAATAAACACAAGGTAAATCTGGATTGCGAATACAAGTGAGCTACTCTGAAGACTTCAGATGGTCGGGCTGTT